AAAATGAACGAAAAACCCTCATGGAAATCGGAACTGGCATCCAATTCATGAGCAAAACCCAAAACCCACAGCTCATAAGAGAGAAAATAGATAAGTGGGACCTTATTAAACTGACAAGCTTCTGCAAAGCCAAAGAAACCATCAAGAGAGCAGGGAGACAGCCTACAGACTGGGAAAAAGTATTTGCCAACTTCAGGTCTGACAAAGGCTTAACATCCTGGATCTACAAGGAACTCAAACGTGCTGAAAAGAAAAAAACAAACAACCCCATTATAAAATGGGCAAAAGATATGAACAGACACTTCACAAAGGAAGACATCCGAGCAGCCAACAAACACATGAAGAAAGGTTTTTATTTTATTAAAAAACTGAAACATATCTAAGCTGAAAAAAAATCTGGGAAAAGCTTAAAACATCCATAAGGGTTTGAATGTCATTAAATTTTGCCTTGACACGAAGTGCAGAGGTTAGAAATGAAAGATAATGTGAAATAATTACCAATGAAGGACATATTTCAAGATATTGGAGAATCAAGGGCACCTCAAATGCAAAGCAGTTACTAAAGAACGAGTATATTAAAGGAGAGAAACTGGCAGGGGCCAGGTGAAGAAGGGAGTTCATTAAACTGGAGTGTCTTGATCATATCTGCATTTTGTAAAACTCATTCTGGCATTTTACAAAACTCAGTATGAAACAAGAAGATGGGTAGAATAAAAGACAAGAAGATAAGTTAGAGAATTGATGTTCAGACAAGAGAAGACAAAGACTGAGCAGTGCAGATGAAGAAGGAGAGAAAAGAATAATTTTAAACAGCATGAAGGTGATAAAATTTACATAATTAGCTAATGGACTGGATAAGATAAGAAAGAGGGAGGAAACAAGAATTATTCTCAAGTTTCTTAGTAACTGGAGGTATGGCAATGCTATTTATTGGGACAGCTACACAAAAGGAAAAAACAAAATGGGAAAGTTGGAAGACTCACACTCCTTGATTTCAAAATTTACTAAAAAGTCACAGTAATCAAAACAGTGTGGTAACGATATACAGACAGACATATAGACCAATGGGATGGAATAGAAAATCTGGAAATAAACCCTTTCATATATACCAAATGATTTTTAATAAGGGTGCCAAGACCATTCAAGGGGGAAAAGGCAATCCTTTCAACAAATGGTGCTGAGTGAACTGGATATCTACATGCAAAAGAATGAAGTCGGACCATTACCATATATAAAAATTAACTCAAAGATAGAATAAAGATCTAAATGTAAGACCTAAAGAAAAGTTTCATGAAACTAGGTTTGTCAATGATTTCTTGTATATGGCACCAAGGCACAGTCAACAAAAGAAAAAATAGACAGATTGGATTTCATCAATATTTAAAATGTTGATACTATCAACAGTAAAAATGCAACTCACAGAATGAAAGAAAATATTTACAAATTGCATATCTCACAAGAGATTACAGTAGTATCCAGACTATATGTAGAATACCAAGTACTCAGCAACAAAAACATACAACCTGATTCCAAAATGGGCAAAGGACTTAAATTGAAATTTCTCCAAAGATGATACACAAATGACACAAATAGGCCCATGAAAAGATGTTCCTAATAACATCTAGTTATTAGGAAAATGCAAACCAAAACCACAATAAGAAGCCACCTCGCACCTATTAGGATGCCTATTATCAAAAAGAAAACAAAAAACAGCAAGTGTTAGTATAAATGTGAAGACACTGGAACCGTTGTGCACTGCTGATGGGAATGGAAAATGGTGCAACACTATGGAAAACAGTATGGTAATTCCTCAAGAAATTAAACATAGAATTGCCATCTGATCAAGCTTTCCATTTGCAGGTATATACACAAAAGAACTGAAAGCAGGGACACAAACAGATATTTGTACACCCGTATTCATAACAGTATTATTTATAATAGCTAAAAGGTGGAAACAGCCCAAATATCTATCGATGGATAAACAAATGTTATATATATATATATATATATAATGAAATCTTATTCAGCCTTAAAAGGAAGGAAAGTCTGACATATGCTACAACATGGATGAACCTAGAGAATGTTAGGCTAAGAAGGAAAAAAAAAGCAGTCACTAAAAGAATACACAGAATTATTCCACTTATATGAGGTATCTAGAGTAGTCAAATTCATAAAGATGGAAGTAGAATGGTGGTTGCCAAGGGTTAGGGGGAGGAAAGAATGGGAAACTGTCTAATGAGTTTCAGTTTCACAAGATGAAACAAGTTGTGGTGGCTGTAATCCCAGCACTTTGGGAGGTCAAGGTGGGAGAATCGCTTGAGCCCAGGAGTTTGAGACCAGCCTAGGCAACACAGTAAGACCTCATCTCTGCAAAAAATAATTAATGAATTAAAAATTTAGCTGGGTGTGGTGGCAAGTGCCTGTAGTCCCAGCTACTCTAGAAGCTGAGTCAGAAGGATCACCTGAACCCAGGAGGTTGAGGCTGTGGTGAGTCGTGATCAAGTCACTAAACCCCAGCCTGGGTGACAGAGTGAAACTCCAACTAAAATAAGAAAAAGTTCTGGAAATTTGTTGCACAACAATGTGAATGTACTTAATGCCACTGAACTATAAATTTTTTAATAGTTAAGATGATAAATTTTATGTTGCATATATTTTACCATAATTAGAAATAAAAATTAAAAAATAAATCACTACTGATTTTCACGTGACTATAATACTAACAATTTGAAACCCACGGGGAAGAATTGCAATTCAAATATGTAGATCTAAATATTTTTTTTAAATCCCTTTCATCTCTCTTAGCATCCCAAAGGATAAATACATATTCTATTTAGCTGTATGAAAAGAGATATCAATGACATCATAGGAAAGTTTCTTATAAACTAGAATTCTTATCATAACCTCCCATTTAATTCCTTCTGTTATGAACTAAATGTGTATCCCCACCCACTGCCCAAAATTCATATGCTGAATCCCTAATCCACAATGCCATAGCATTTGGAGGTGGGACCTTTGGGAGGTAATTAGGCTTAGATGAAGTCATAGGATGGGGCCTTCATGATGGGATTAGTGTCCTAATAAAGAGAGAAAGAGGCCAGGTGCGGTGGTTCAAACCTGTAATCCCAGCACTTTGGGAGGCTGAGGTGAGGGGACTGCCTGAGTCCACGGGTTCAAGAACAGCCTGGGAAACTTGGTGAGACCTCATCTCTACAATAAATCAAAAAATTAGCTGCACGTGGTGGTGCACGCCTGTAGTTCTGGCTACTTGGAAGGCTGAGGCAGAAGGATTGCCCGAGCCCAGAGGGTCAACACTGAGGTGGCTGTAAGCGTGCCAATGCACTCCAGCCTGAGCGATGGAGTGAGACTCCAACTCAATTAAAAAAAAAATAGAGAGACCAGACCAGAGAGCACTCTCTCTCCACCAGGTGAGGACATAGCAAGAAAGCAGCTGTCCACAAGCTGAGAAAAAAGTCCTCTCTGGGGAACTGAATCAGCCAGTAGTTTAATATTGAGCCTCCTAGCTGCAGATTATAAGAAATAAATGTCTGTTGTTTAAGCCGACCAGTCTACAATATTTTGCTATAGCAGCCCAAGCTAATTAATATACCAGCCATCCCAGACCAAAGTCTTAATCTAGGACAGCAGCTCTCAAATTATTCTTAATCCCTACTTTACTGCCACAAAGCACTACCAGACCTCTTTGCTACTTGGACACAACCATTTGTTTTATATCAAACATGTTAATAACACATTACACTTGCATCCTACAAAAAATTTACTAGAGTATCTTAGTTTTAAATATGTGATAAAGCTTATACTCAAGAAGGCAACATACTGTTGCCTCAAATTCCGCAGTCATGAGATGTTTTTATTAGTATTCGTATAATTTTTCTAGTTTTCATTACCAACCTATATGAATTTACAACAAGTTTAGGGTTCTCCTAGGGCAACATCACAATGGTTCTTCCAGAAGATCTTCCCTGACTGACTAATATAGCTCTGGCTTGTCCAGCTCATGATACTTACTAATTATCTAATGAATGTCTAGTTCCATTTCTCGTGAAAGGGCCACTGCTGAAAGAACACAGCAGGGGAGGGGAGAGTGGGGCCTATGCTATAGCCAAGGGAGTGATGTAAGCAGAAAATAGGGCAGTGTTGTGTTTAATCTGCCCCTCTTTTTTTTTGCTTCCCAGGAGAATGAAGGGAGCCAGCAGCCTGGCAGCAGCACAGGGAAGTTGACAGAGAAATTTAGATGTTTCTTGCCATCTCAAGCTTCAGCAATGTAACAGAATGAGGGCATTTGTGAAGCTTACAAGGAAGAATCAAAACCAGGGCAGTCCAAACATTGATTCATCAAGGTCCCTCCGGAAGTTCAGAAAATCTGTCCTCTGTAAGGGTTTCACCTATCCATCCTTTATAAAGCCAAGTATTCAAACACATTTTATGATTATTAACTGTAGTGTCTGTCTCAAATACTGGAAAAACAAATATTCAAACATTTAAAATTCATGTGAAAAAGGAAATACAGAACTCACAAGAACTTTGAAAGAAATATACCTTATTCCATTCACTTGTGATTCTTAATATAATGCAGTAATCGTTCCCTGTTTTCAAGGGTGCATTATAATATTTCCCATAGTATAGCCTGTCTCCAATAGCTATCTCCATGGCATCATCTCGAACATCTTTGGTCAACAGTTCTGCAGTCACATATCCATGAGCATCAGAGGTGTTGGTAAAGAATGAGGAAACCCCTTCAGTATCACATGAAAATGTGCTTTTGAGGGCCAGGGGAAGCACTAACACCTGATAAGAGCTGGAAGAAAAAACAAAATTGTCTATCAGACTCTTGCTTGGGGGATTCACCCCTTCATGAATTCATATTTATTGAGCACCTGCTATGAGATAAGCACTTTTCTAGGCACTGAGGACACAACACTGGACAAGAAAAAGTCGTGGTCCACATGAGGTTCAGTCTGACAGCTCCAACCACCATGGAACTCCTGTTTGAATCTACAGTGTTAATGCCAGATGACATTGGGTGAGGAACCTCACCAAGATGCAGCTGCAGAGGGATGCCAAGTGCATCCTCTTTAACTGGGAGAAGTTATCACATGTATGACTGCCCTGGGCATATGTCATAAAGTTGACCCAATCAGTGATTTTCACATGGGCAAATAAAGCCCAACTGTGGAAAAGGTTTAGCAGTCACATGAAGATCAAGTGCCTACAAGAGTTAATGTACTAAGTCTGAAAAAAGGCTGCAGATAATCATGTGGCAACTTAAAAGAGAACTCATGTGATTTCCATTCCCTACAGCTCACCGACTGATACCAAAGTTCATGTGAAATAAATGAGAAGCCAGGAGTACAAAGTCACCATCAGTTAATCTTGTCTGACAATATCCTGAAACAGTCAGAACAGTAAGATGTCATATGTACATTGTGAAACTGTTCCCTAAATGTGGCCATAAAAACACACTAAAAAACAGGTATCATTTTTGTCATGTGTTGTATTGTTATTTATCATTATTTGTCCCACCACATAGAAAACCTGTCAGTGAAAGGAAGTGTAAGAATAAAAATGCACTGAGAATGATTCATGCCTTCCTTTCCATTCCTATCTATTTAGTACTTATCTCCTGTCTCCGGTATAATGTTTGAATATCTGCTATATCTATCAGACTTCTTAGCAGGGATTTGAATGACCTACTCTTGTATCCTTGCAAATCCTTGCACAGTTCTTTGGCTATAATCGAACCTCTCTCCCCATCAATGGTTGAGTTGAAATTTCACTAAAGAGGAAAAGCATGCGTCAGCACCAAATATGATTAAGGTAATTTCCAAAACTCATTAGGTCACATAATTCTATTTGACCAGATCTGCACTTCCTGCTCCACATCCCTAATGCCCCATTCTCCTGCTTGCTAAAAGCCCATGAGTCACTAGGTGAAGAAGAGGAAGCCCTTGACAACCCCTTCAGGTCCCCTCCCACTGTGGGAGCTTTTCTGTCCTCTCAAATAAATCCTGCTTTCTCACTTAAAAAAAGAAGAAGAAGAAGAAGAGGAAGCCCTCCCCCCTGGTAGGTGCTGGATGTGGAAAATCTCCCTCAGTGGGTTTCCTAACATCCTAGGTGTCCTCAGGGCCCTGATTTCCACAAAGTCTAGGCTCCCTTTCAGTCAAGGACTTTCTACAAAAGAGACAAAGTAACACCTGCAGGACAATGAGTTGTCACCAGCAGTAAACATTCACCAGTAACAACATCTGTAACAACAAACTTTCCTGGGGACTTAAAGATATCCCTATGAATAGTGGCTGCAGGTAAGAAAGTAAATGTTGCAGCAGCTCCACACTGCCCATAAGCACATCTCTAAATCCCTCTCATCTGTCCTCGTAGGTGGCTGTGGTCAAGTGCAAGGTCAAGGCTCACCAGCACCTATTTGCTTCTGTTCCTTGTTCACTAGAAGCATCATTCACGGGGTACAAAGCAGCTTCCCAATTAGCCTGATTGTAATCACCTGAGTTGCTTGATGTTCCACAAATTCCCAGATCCCACCCCAGACCTACCGAATCAAAATCTCCAAGAGTAGAGTCTGGGAATTTGTATTGCTGATAAAGCACCCCAAGGTGACTCCTACAATCTAGCAAGTGTAGGAGACACTAGCATTAAGGGACCCCAGCAACAGGTTGCATCAACAGCCTAAGATCAGCAAACTCAAAAAAGGAGACTTGGTCCAGGACCTTTGCTCAACTATGTGTCCCAAGACATTGCACCCAAACAATGTCCAAAGCAGACTCAGGCCTGTCTCACACACTGGGAAATCTACTGCCCCCAGCTCAAACCAGGTAATCAAGCTGAGGAAGCTACTCCACTGGCCTGCTGGTAATGAGCCCTGATGATATTAGACAAGCAGCTGTGGCTGTTTGGAACAAACTGTTCTGGAAGGACTGTTCCCCAGTTTCTCACCACCATACTCTCTTGAGTGACTCACAGATCTCCACTTCCTGTTTTGGAAGCACTGGCCGGCATATAGCCACAAGGGTAAACTCTCATTTGGCTTTTCTTTTTTGTCTTATGCAATCATTTGGCTTAAATATCACATCTGCTCTTACAAAGTCTCTCAGGCAGTGACATCACAACTTCTGTGCTCTTTACTGCCACAGAATTACAGTGCCTTTCAGTAATTTGTCAAGAATCAAGAATCAGAACATAGCCGGGCTCGGTGGCTCAGCCTGTAATCCCCCGCCTTTGGGAGGCTGAGGTGAGTGGATTGCCTGAGCCCGCGGGTTCAAGACCCGCCTGGGCAACTTGGCAAGACCTCATCTCTACAATAAATCAAAAAATCAGCCAGGCATGGTAGCACATGCCTGTAATTCCGACTACTCGGAAGGCTGAGGCGGAAGGATCGCCAGAGCCCAGCAGGTGGAGACTGCAGTGGCCGGGAGCAACCACTGCACTCCAGTCTGGGTGACAGAGTGAGACTCCAACTCAAAAAAAAAGAATCAGAACAATCTATGCAGTGTCCAACCCTGGAAAGATCTTTGGGCATTTACTAAATTTAAACGAATATAAGACCAGGAAAACCCAAAGTTTCATCATAAATGAACACAGATGATATCTCCAGACTTTCTTTTGCATAATTTTATATCACGTATCTTTTCTAACCTTGATTGTACCAAAGGGTCATTAGGCTGAAGGGTCAAGAGAGCCATAAGGCAATGTAGGTAAATGAACTCCATCCTAATGCCATCTGAAATCAAAGAATCAGTCATTAACCATACAATGTCTTGCTCATAACTCAATATCTAAATAGATAAAAAGAATTAACTAAATGACCTTTTCAGAAACCATTACACATACACCAAGATCAGCCTTACATAAAGGGAAACATATTCTAGCTTTGGTAAATGAAATGGTGCTTCTGATCCACCACAACTAAAGGATATATCTGGAGATATGAGTGCAAAGGACGGTGCTTGAATGTCCTCGGCACACAACCAATGCTTGTCCAGTGATCAAGGGAATGGGTTTAATTTCTTGAACTAAGCTATCCAAATGCTTGTCTCTGTCCCTTACAAGTCTCGCTATTTACTTGAAAAGATGTTGATTGGGATTAAAGGCCCAGTCTGTACCCAAGGAAACAACAGAAGAAGCCCTGATTGCACTGCCCCGACTACTCAAGTACAGTCACCCACACAAGAGTCTTATCACCCAAACCAAAGTTTCTAAAGTATCCTCCACGGGGATCACTGAAAAATGGTTGAGAAAGGACAGCTACTGACCTGATTGGTCCATTTTTTGCCTTGGCTTGCCTTAGTCTGAGGCGTGGCAGCAGCCTTCCATGCACTGTTAAAAAGTCTACTTCTGGAAGGGGAGGCTCTGAAAACACGTTAAAAAAGAAGAAAAGGGGTATGATGAGAACAAGTTAAAAAGCAAGAAGAAAGTGGTTCTTGTAAGGTCCATTAAAAAGAAAGTTTTAATGCAAGAAGTGACGACCATATTCTGATATGTGCTATGACATAGACAGACCTTTACTTATCATTATGCTAAGAAAAAAAAAAAGCCAGTCATAAAAAACAAATATTGTATAATTACGTTTATGTAAAATATCTAAAATAGGCAAACTCATGAGACAGATGTAAATTAGAGGTTGCTGGGTTTTGAGGGGGTGGGTAGGAAATAGGAACTTACTGCTTAATAGTCACAGAGGTTCTATGAGGGGAACCAAAAAAAACCTGCCATTTAAAAATTTTATATTTATTCTTACATGTTTAAACTCTATTCACCTTCAAAGTACTTTCCATTTGATGCAATATATCTATCAAGATGCTTTTTCCACTGTTCAAAACAGTTTTTGAACTTGTCAATTCTGATGCCTTTTAGCGCTTCAGCCGTTTTTTGTTTCACCTCTTCCACATGGGCAAAATGTTTCCCTTTGAGGACTTTTTTCATCCAGGGAAACAAAAAAGTCGCTCAGGGCAAGATCAGGTGAATAGGGAGGCTGGGGCATGGGGATTATGATGTTTTTAGTCAAAAATTGCTGAACACTCAGCACGGTGTGGACAAGTGTGCTTGTAAATCACCTATCATGAAATGGAAAAATGTGTTTAAAGAACCACCACAAAAAGAAATTCACTGAAGCCAATGCAGTCTCTCACACTGATGCTGATGGGTTCCTAGAACACTTAACCTAGTGAGAGAAGCCTAAACTACAAGGGGCCTACCCTCTAAAGGATAATTCTGGGTTTTTGGGGTCCCCCCTCCTATTTGGGGATGAAAAAGTTTTGGAAACAGATAGTGGTGATAGTTGCACAACATTGTGAATGTACTTAATACCAATGAATTTTATACTTAAGATGGTTAAAATGGTAACTTTTATGCCGTATATATTTGGCCACAATAAACAGAAGGGACGAGTATACCTCAGCACTGACAGAGGACGGATGTGGTAGGCATTACAGTTTGTCTGGCAGGTAGATTCCTAAGAAGTGGGGAAGATCAGCACATCAGACGTCTGTATCCTTAATAATCACAGAGCTCTCTGTCCTTCTTTTGTCCTCCCTAGCTACTATATTTCCCAAATAGGTTTTCCACTGGGAAGAAGATATACTGAGTGGCTGACACTCGTTTTCTTGCTTCTCACTGATAAATACATCCATAGTCTAAATGCAGAGCTGTCATTCTGCCTTGTGGATAATACAGACTAAGACATACTAAGTAACCATACACACTAGATATGTTCTATATATGCTGCATCTCACTTAATCCTCTCAACAATGCTACCAAGTGGATAATATTTATGTTTATCACGGTCTCCCTCTCTTGGAGTCCCTGATAGGAACTTCCTCCTTTTCCAAAAGATTAGAAATAGAGCTTCCACCTGACCTTCTATTCCTGTGATTTCTGAGACAGCTAGAGTTTGGTGGTTGTTCCCATGTGACTCTATCCTTAATTTTTTCTTTTTCTTCTATTCATATTATTTTTTATGGGGTATGGGGCCACCAGAAGGCAGGACAAGTGCTTTCCCACTTCTTGCTCCTATGCTTCATCAACAGGCAAACCTGAGTCAAGGTCAGCCTGGAGCCTGGTCTACATTTGCCCTATAGATTCAACTTCCCCAAAGGTGGGACACAAAGTTTAGGTGAGAGAGGAAGTTCTAAGAGTTTCATTTTGGCCTCAGATCCAAGCCAGTTTTACCAGAAGTAAAACTGATCCCTATCTTACTTTTGTGCATATTTTTCAATTTTCCTACAAACAGAGATGGAACAAATATGGTCATTACCTTAGAAAATCTCATTGTATAGAACAAGAAATTGATTCAAGGACAGATTAAGTGACTTGCCCAAGAGCGTACAGTTAGCAAGTAGCAGAGCCAGAATTTAAACCCATGATCTGCTATATGGCATATCTTGAACAACTGGTTCCACCAAATTGACGCGGCAAATTTTTATCCCCTTTGGATGAACTAATAAAATCCACTTTTAAAGCACTAAATCTACAAAGACTTTACAAACACATCAACTCTAGGAAATGGATCTATTTGCCCACAATGACTATGGAGTTAGAGGTCTACCCAGTGTGTCTCATCTCAGAGAAGCTAGACTACAGGTAAGCTGCAGAAATAATCACTACAATGTAGTGGATAGACCCTGGGTTCTGGGTTCTACTATTCATGGCTCCAGCTGCCTCATTTGTAAAATGGGAATAAAAATAATCCCAACCTCATTGTCAATGAGTCAATACATAATAATTAACAATAATAGTTACTAAGTCAACACAAGTAAAGAGAATAGAATAACCGAGTCCCCAAAAGCTGATGCCATAAAAGCTAAGATAGACAAGTGGGATCTCATCAAACTGAAAAGCTTTTGCACAGCAAAAGAAACCATCAAGTGAATAAAGAGACAACCCATGGAATGGGAAAAAATATTTGCAAATTATGCATCTGATAAAGGGCTAACATTCAGGATTTACAAGGAACTCAAACACAGTGAAAGGAAAAAACCAAACAACCCCATTAAAAGTGGGCAAAGGACATGAACAGACACTTCTCAAAAGACAACATACAAGCAGCCAACAGGCACATGAAAAAATTCTCAGCTTCACTATCAGAGAAACGCAAATCACACTACAATGAGATATCACCTAACTCTGGTAAGGATGGCTATCATTAATAAGTCAAAAAATAACAGATGCTGGCACTGGTGCAGAAAAAAGGAAACACTTCTACACTGCTGGTGGGAGTGCAAACTAGCTCAACCTTTATGGAAAGCAGTGTGGTGATTCCTAAGAGAACTAAAAATTGACCTTCCATATGATCCAGTAATTCCTCTCCTGGGAATATACCCAGAGGAACAAAAATCATTCTACAAAAAAGACACCTGCACACATATGTTTATTGCCACATTATTCACAATACAAAAATGTGGAACAAACTCTACTGCCCATTGAAAGTGGACTGGATAAAGAAAATATGGTATATACACATGATGGAGTATTACACAGCCATAAAGAAGAACAAAATAATGGACTCCGCAGCAAATTGGATGGAGTTGGAAACCATCATACTAAGTGAACTATCACAGAAACAAAGATCTGAATACATGTTCTCACTCATAAGTGGGCCTTGAACATTAGTCATGCTAGCCCAAGGGTGGGACTAGCAGGGAAGGAGGGAGGAGGGTAGGGGCATGTGACAACATAAAAGGTACCTGGTCCACTACCAGACAGAGTGAGGGCCAGTTAGAAGCCCAAACTTCACCTGTATGCAGCCTACTTATGTAGTTAATCCTCACTTGTATTCCATGTTCCTATCATAAAATAAAAAATACATGACCACAATTTAAAAAAAGAAAGAAGGAGAATAGAACAGTGCCTGGAATAGAGCAGTACTCAGTGCATGTTGGCTGTTTGTATACTATCATTTGAGCAGCTGGGGGCCAGTTCTATGCTGGGAACTTTGCCTCTGCTGTTTCATCAAATCCTCACAGCAGCTCTGCATGACAATCATTTCTATTTATCAATGAGGAAATCAAAGCTCAGGCAGGTTGAGTCTCACTTGGTCCAGACAAGTGTGGGATGCATAATAATTTGATTCCAAAGTCAAATTTGCCATGCTATGACAATGCTTGTGTTCACTTTGCCTGAGATGAAACTGTGACCTACAAGCAGAACCTTACAAATCTCTGAAGGAACACAGGGCCCCTGTACCATCCGGAGTCTGCAATCATAAAGAACAGAGGTTGAGGTGCCCAAGCATGACAAACACCAAGGATGCCTGAATTAGCAGATGTTCAAAGCATTGAGTAGAAAGGGGAATTCAGAAATAATCACAGGAGGGAGGCCATGGAGACGACAGGTTTAGTTCCCTCCAGCTCTAGCACACAGGAAACATCATTTGGGGGACTATGAGTCAAGGTCTATAATATAGCAAAGGGTTCCCCACAGAACAAAAGGCAGTGACATAAGCCAGATGAATAGGCAGTATCCCTAAAGCAGGCTGGAGAAGGCTTCTGCTGAACAAAAGTCTGGAAAAAAAAAAAAAACCTGGAGGAGACCAAGGTAAAGGTACAAACTGCTAATTGCAAAACTCCCAGAAGATGGGACACCCTGTGCCTGAGAGTCCCCCAAGTCTGCACATGTTGTCTTTTTATATATGATATGGCTTATATATTGGTTTTATGTGCTCGGCATCCCTTTCTCTGTGGAGAGTGGCCCCTTTCCTTCCCATATTGTTCTCATAGGGCTGGCATTCACAGTCCTCCAAACCCCCTCAGCCCAGGCCTGGTGATCACGGATAGACATTCCTCAATCACAGGACTGGAGTAGAAGAGCAATCTTTTCAGCTTTGGGAGACTGGAGGGTCTTCTTCTTTGATTTTAACTGTAAGTATCAGGTAGGCCAGGAGTACAATGCCCATCCTCCTGGGCCTATCTGAGAGAGTTTGGCAGGGAGAGGGTTGCATCGCTGAGACAGCAACAGGACCGTGGTGATACCATGTGAAGCTGGAGCTTGCTGAGCTCCAAGCAAGATCCATTCCTGGCCTAACTAGTTCTGTGACCCAACATGCTCCACGTGCTTAAGCAGGTTTGAGTTTGGTTTCTGTCACTTGCAACCAAAACAGCCCTAATTGCAGAATGCATCCAGCACCCTGAAATTCTGTGGAAGGGAAGAACACAGCTGTGCACTCTTGGGAACTCTGGTACTAGGCCAAGTGGACACAGGAGGGAAACAGTTCTTGTGTAACCTAGGCAAATCCCAAGCCCAGTCATGGTGGAGACAATGAGGACAGCAAGGAGAACTGCCTTCATTAGATCCTGACTAAACAATCCCTCCTTCAAAGTCTATCACTGCATCTGCTCAACAGAGGGAGGAAGGAA